GTAAAAGAAAGGAAATATTTATTCGACAAGAAGGATTAGAAATGTCTAAAAATGATTAAGATTTAAAAAAAATTATAATACAAATTGAAAATTTAACTATTTCTTGCTTTTCATTTAATTTAGTCTGAAAGAAATCAACAGGAATGAATACGAAAGAATAGGAATGAACAGTAACGAATAGGAATGAACAGTAAAGAAAAGGAGTGAACAGTAATGAATAGGAATGAACAGTAATGAACAGGAGTGAACAGTAACGAATAGGAATGAACTGCAGTAATGAATAGGAATGAACAGTAACGAATAGGAATGAACAGTAATGAATAGCAATGAACAGTATTTAATAGGAATGAATAGTAATGAACAGGAGTAAACAGTAACGAATAGGAATGAAAAGTAATGAATAGGAATGCACAGTAACGAATAAGAATGAACAGTAATGAATAGGAATGAACAGTAATGAATAGGAATGAACAGTAACGAATAGGAATGAACAGTAATGAATAAGAATGAACAGTAATGAATAGGAATGAACAATAATGAATAGGAATAAACAGTAAAGAATATGAATGATCAGTAACGAATAGGAATGAACAGTAATGAATTGGAATGAACAGTAACGACTAGGATTAAACAGTAATGAACAGGAGTGAATAGTAATGAATAGGAATGAATAGTAATGAACAGGAGTGAACAGTAACGAATAGGAATGAACTGCAGTAATGAATAGGAATGAACAGTAACGAATAGGAATGAACAGTAATAAAAAGGAATGAACAGTATTTAATAGAAATGAACAGTAATGAACAGGAGTGAACAGTAACGAACAGGAATGAACAGTAATGAATAGGAGTGAACAGTAAAAAATAGGAATGAACAGTAATGAACAGGAGTGAATAGTAACGAATAGGAATAAACAGTAATGAATAGGAATGCACAGTAACGAATAGGAATGAACAGTAATGAATAGGAATAAACAGTATCGCATAGGAATGAACAGTAACGAATAGGAATGAACAGTAATGAATAGGAATGAACAGTAAAAAGGAATGAACAGTATTTAATAGAAATGAACAGTAATGAACAGGAGTGAACAGTAACGAATAGGAATGAACAGTAATGAATAGGAATGAACAGTATCAAATAGGAATGAACAGTAACGAATATGAATTATCAGTAACGAATAGGAATGAACAGTAATGAATAGGAATGAATAGTAATGAACAGGAGTGAACAGTAACGAATAGGAATGAACTGTAGTAATGAATAGGAATGAACAGTAACGAATAGGAATGAACAGTAATAAATAGGAATGAACAGTATTTAATAGGAATGAACAGTAATGAACAGGAGTGAACAGTAACGAATAGGAATGAACAGTAATGAATAGGAATGAACAGTAACGAATAGGAATGAACAGTAATGAACAGGAATGAAGAGTAATGAATAGGAATAAACAGTAACGAATATGAATTATCAGTAACGAATAGGAATGAACAGTAATGAATAGGAATAAACAGTAACGAATAGGAATACACAGTAATGAACAGGAGTGAACAGTAATGAATAGGAATGAACAGTGATGAACAGGAGTGAACAGTAATAAATAGGAATGAACAGTAACGAATAGGAATGAACAGTAATGAACAGGAGTGAACAGTAATGAATAGGAGTGAACAGTAATGAATAGGAATGAACAGTAATGAATTGGAATTAACAGTAATGAATAGGAATAAACAGTAATGACTAGGAATGAACAGTGATGAATAGGAATGAACAGTAATGAACAGGAGTGAATAAAAGTGAATAATATGAATAAAAATGAATAGGCTAACAGGAATAAACAAGAATGAATAATAATTTGAACAGGAATTAACAGGAATGATTAATAATGAACCAGATAAGCAAGAGGGAAAAATAATAAACAGGAATGAATAATAATTTACAGGAATGGACAGGAATGAACAGGAATGGACAGGAATGAACACGAATGAACTGAATAATATTAGCCAGGAATGAACAGCAATGAATAAGAATAAACAGAAATGAAAAAGAATGAACGTTGAAAAGGAATGGACAGGATTGAATAATAATGGACAGAAATGAATAATAATGGACTGGAATGAATAATAATGGACATGAATGAATAACAATACATAGGATTGAATGAATGAAACGGAATTAACATGAATGGATAGGAATGAATGAGAATGAACAGGTATAAACAGGTATTTATAGAAACAAAATAATATTTGAATTGAAACAGATAAATAAAAAATGTATTTCTCACCTTTTATTTGCTGAGAAACTTTCTTATTTGGGTCCAACCAGTGCTGAAAATTAAAAATATGTTAATTACAAAAACTAATCAGAGTACAAAAATTAGACGTGAATTATCTTATATTCGTAATTCTGGCAGCCCTAAAAGAATATACTACATTAAGACCCAAAAACTGCAAAATTGAAAGCAATTTTATGTATATTATTGTTGTTAAAAAGCAAATATGTTTGCTAGTAGCCTGAACCCAACTTATCAGTGGGTCTGTGAACACTGCACAATTGATATGTTTCAGGCTTATGGGAACATTGAAAATAATAAATTGGGTTTAACGGTCGTCTTCCTTATTCACAGTTTTAGGGGTTTACTGTGCTAGTAAATCGTAAAACACAAAGCAACCCCTAAAAAGAAACCTCAATGGTTTCATGTTGTGTGTATTGTAAGCCTTGTATGAAATCCTTGTTTCAGAAATAGATTAATAGTTTGGTTAGTTTGAGGTTTAAATAGATGATAATATACTATACCTGGATAATATGTACAGGGTGTACAGTGTATCCTGGATATTGAGATGAATAATATGTACAGGGTGTCCAGTATATCCAGGATATTGAGATGGATAATATGTACAGGGTGTCCAGTATATCCTGGATATTGAGATGGATAATATGTACAGGGTGTCCAGTACATCCTGGATATTGAGATGGATAATATGTACAGGGTGTTCAGTATATCCTGGATTTTGAGATGGATAATATGTACAGAGTGTCCTGTTTATCTAGGATATTGAGATAGATAATATGTACAGAGTGTTCAGGATATTGAGATGGATAATATTTACAGGGTGTCCAGTACATCCTGGATATTGAGATGGATAATTTGTACAGGGTGTGCAGGATATTGAGATGGATAATATGTACAGGGTGTCCAGTACATCCTGGATATTGAGATGAATAATATGTACAGGGTGTACAGTATATCCTGGATATTGATATGGACAGCATGTACAGGGTGTCCTGTATATCCAGTGTATCCGTTGTTAAATATGGATAAAAAATCTGTATCCATGATGCATGAAAAGCGTGAAATTGTAAGAATTAGGAAACAAAACAAGAAAAAAAAAGAATATTTGTTTATGGTTGGTGCATTGTTGAAAAAATAATGCTAACTCATCTGTTTACTCTATTCTAACATGTAAAACCTCTTCTGCTTGGTCCCAGCTTTATCTCTTATCCTTCTCTTCCATTCTTCTTATTCCAAATCCGATTTAAACCAGTTCATAACTCTTTTTTCTAATCCATTCTTGATTTGGTTACTAAACTAAAATTTTCCAACTTATTTAACCCCCCCCCCTTCGTCTAACTTTTCCGACCCGTCCTAACTCCTCCTTCGTCCAAGTCCTTCAACCTATCCTAACTCCTCCTTCGTCCAAGTCCTTCAACCTATCCTAACTCCTCCTTCGTCCAAGTCCTTGAACCTATCCTAACTCCTCCTTCGTCTCTCCCTCCTTTTTTCCTGTTCACATTTTCTAAAGAATTTGATCTGATACGTCAAGCGTAATCTTTTTCAACTTTATCAAAAGAAATGTTAACACGAAGACTGTAAAAAATTGTTTTGTCTTCATGTTTAAGAATCGTTTACGTGGCAATTTTTTGAATAAAGAATTTCTCTTCGAAATGTTTTATTTAAAGTTTTTCTAATTATTCATCAAAAATGTTAAAAAATGTTTCTTCAATGCTTTAATGAGAAGGGTTGTGGGAAAAAAGCACTTGTTTCAAACTAAATATTTTACAACTTTATAAACTATTCTAAGGGACTGCAGGCGTAATATTATACAACTTTATAAAATATTCTAAGGGACTGCAGGCGTAATATTATACAACTTTATAAACTATTCTAAGGGACTGCAGGCGTAATATTATACAACTTTATAAACTATTCTAAGGGACTGCAGGCGTAATTTCAAGTAATTCTTATTTTTTATTATTTTTTTTTATTCAACTACTAAGCACAATATAATACAATTGGACCCGCCTGGCCAGAGTAGGTTGTTTTAATTGGTCGACCCATTATAAGCGAATAAAAATTGTAGATAAATGTTCATTTTTCACAAAACCATTTTTTGTTCATTTATTGAGTTCTATTTCCGATTTGCTAATAAAGGATAAATTAGTTTCCTATAATTTGATTATTTTCAAGTTGGTGTGTATATAATCAGCGAAAAGCGAATTAATGCTGCAGAGACAATATGGAAAATTGACAGAATTCAACACATGTTAAACAATGACGATACCTTTCTCATTGTTGGAAGTTAACATTGATATATGTCTTTTTCCGATAGAAGTTCACAGGTTACCGTTGTCAATCGATCATGGCAGCTTTTTTAAATGTAGGGTCCCTTAAGGGGATAGATAAGAGAATTAGAAGCAAAAGAACTGAAGTAGGAATGCAGAGGAGTGATAGACATAGAAAGAAATTAAAGACATAGAAAGAAAGACAAAGACTTAAACAGAATTACAGACAATGAAAGTAAGTAGAGACAGTGAAAGTAGTTGGAGACATAGGAAGTAAGTAGAGACATATAACGTATTTACAGACATAGACAGTAATTAGAGACATAGAACGTAATTAGAGACATCGACAGGAAAACATAGAAAGTATTTAGAGACATAGAAAGGAAGCCATCGAAAGTAATTAGAGACATAGAAAGGAAAACATGGGAAGTAATTAGAGACATAGAAAGGAAAACATAGGAAGTAATTAGAGACATAGAAAGGAAAACATAGGAAGTAATTAGAAGCATAGACTGGAAAATATGATGAATTAAAGGAATTGAGGAAAGAAAATAGAAAAGCGGAGGAGAGGAAAGGATTTGGATTGATTAACTAATAATCTATCCTTAATCATCCTAATCTAGTATTTTCTGTTCCTAAACCCCTCTTGCGTCTTAAGAATAGATAAATATTAATTACTTTTCCCTGAGTTCTTTTCTAAACACAGAGATCTGTACGTTCGTATGTACGTACGTATGTATCTTTCTTAGATTTTGATAATAATATTGGGAGCATTTAAAAGGGTTAACCACAACGGATGAGACTTCAGCGACGACTGTTAGGAATATATTCAATTTTTTTGGTCTGCGTAAATGGTTCAAGTAAAAGAGGTTGGTTTAAGGAGAGGTAAAAGAAGAGTGGGTTTTAGGAGAGGTAAAAGAAGGATGGGTTTGATGAGAGGTAAAAGAAGGATGGGGTTGAGGAGAGGTAAAAGAAGGATGGGTTTGAGGAGAGGTAAAAGAAGGATGGGTTTGAGGAGAGGTAAAAGAAGGATGGGTAAGAGGAGAGGTAAAAGAAGGATGGGTTTGAGGAGAGGTAAAAGAAGGATGAGTTTGAGGAGAGGTAAAAGAAGGATGGGTTTGAGGAGAGGTAAAAGAAGGATGGGTAAGAGGAGAGGTAAAAGAAGGATGGGGTTGAGAAGAGGTAAAAGAAGGATGGGTAAGAGGAGAGGTAAAAGAAGGGTGGGTTTGAGGAGAGGTAAAAGAAGGGTGGTTTTGAGGAGAGGTAAAAGAAGGGTGGGTTTGAGGAGAGGTAAAAGAAGGGTGGGTTTGAGGAGAGGTAAAAGAAGGGTGGGTTTAAGGAGAGGTAAAAGAAGGTTGGGTTTAAGGAGAGGTAAAAGAAAGGTAGGATTAAGGAGAGGTAAAAAAAGATTGAGTTTGAGGAGAGGTAAAAGAAAGGCGGGTTTGACGAGAGGTAAAAGAAAGGAAGAAGTGCTTTGTATAAACTCAAGGTGCACACACACTGCACAGCTCGTGCCAAACAATCCTTTTGTCGTTAGGAAGTTATGTTGTGAACCGTGGTGTAAACAATAGAGATGCAGATTCAAGATTAGAAATTTGAACACAAGACAAGACAAGAACAGACGTCATCATTGGACAACTATCAGACAGATCGGACAAATAATAGACAGATTGGAGAAAAAGGAGACAGATTAAAGAAATATTAGACATCCCAGGCGAAAAATTGAAAGATTGGATGAATTGGTAAAATTTTAAACATCTCGGAAATTAAATGATATACTGAAGAAGGTAAACCAGACAAATAATAAAAGGATCGAACTAAAAAACATAAGGCAAAAGTACAAACTCTATCAACTAAAATATAATCATATTTTTGTAAAGAACTAATATCAAGTTTAAGATGTGTGGAGCACATTCTATTATTGTTCAGTCAGCACATTGAAAGTTTGACAGAATCTGATAAATACTGAGCTCGAGAAATCCGGGAAAATGATTGATAGCACAAACTCCGCAATTTTTACCTGGTACATCACGAAATCAACAAATCATGAATCATGATGGCAACTAATTTATAAATGTAAGTTAGTTCATGAAATAAGAAACGATGACTAGGAGTAAGATTGTTTCTTGTTTATTGAAGGAGGGTGGGAGAAAGGGGGGGGGAGTAAAGGTTAATACAGTATCATCGACGTTATATCAAGCGACCTCCCTTTAAATAGGTGCATGCCTGATTCACGGTATTCTGGCCTTTAAACCTTTATGTATGCCACAATGAATACAATCAGCAAGTCATTTCGATGGAGAAACTGCATAATTAGAACTTATCAATCTTCAGATATAAACAAAGGATATATCTTTAAGACTAAAGATAAAAGGTATCACAGTGTCCCTGGAGGAACATCAACCTTTTTGAAAAAGTCCCAAAAAACGTATTTTGCCATTTTTTTCGTTTGGTTCTCAAGTTCTAAAAAATATAAAATAAAAAAATTCGTTGGGGTTTTTAAACAATCCTTATTATAAAATAGGTCATAAAAATCTTCCAAAATGTTTAGTTCTTTTTTTCTTGATAAGCTGTAATGCAATTTATAATGTAATTACAAACTAAACGTTTTGGCAAAAGCTTTTAAATTTTTAATGACTAATAATAATTATTTCTAAAATTTTTATCTATATTTTATATATTCATATTGAAAAGTAAAATAATTGAGTCTTTGTCACAAACTCGAGTTTTCTAATCCCAAAATCTTTGCTGCATGATAAACATATTCTTCTTTAGAACATATGAATGAAAACACTTTTGCCAAAACGTTTTGTTTTAAATACATTACAAATTACATTACAAGTAAAAAGAGCTAACAAGTTCTATTCGAACCCTTGATTTTGGCAGATTTTCATGACCTATTTTTAAAAAGGATTGTTTTTCCGCAAGAAATATAAAAATACGACAAATGAGTTTTTTTTAGAAACTAGAAATTAAAAAAACTTTTGCCCAAACGTTCTGTTTGTAAATACATTATAAATTGCATTTCAAGCAAAAGAGAACTAACAGGGTTTAGTCGAACCCTTGATTTGGCAGATTTTTTTTCGCGAGTATACAATTTGATAAACACTGTTTTTTAGAACATAAAAGTTTTAAAAACTTTTGCAAAACGTTTTTTAAGTACATTAAAAATTGCATTACAAGCAAAAGCGAACTAACAAGGTTTTGTCGAACCCTTGATTTTGGCAGATTTTCATGACCTATTAAAAAAAAAAGAATGTTTAAACACACCCGAACAGATTTTTTTTTTGATTTTTATATTGTTGAGAACTAGAGAACCAGACGAAAAAGGCAAAATACGTTTTTGGGACTTTTCCAAAAAGTTTAATCTTCCTCCAGGGACACTGTGGTATTATTGTGAATCGGACGTGTCCCTCTGTAAATGGAGAGTCTCTTTAAATGACAGCAACAGTCCCTTCAAGGGACTGTATGCGATATTTAAAGTGACTTTCCAAGCAAAGATGGCAATGTCTGATTTACCTATGAAACCATAAAATTATCACAAATGTGAAAAAAACCGTCGTTTTACTGACTCCGCACATGGAAATAAACAGTTTAAAGAATTAAGATATCTAATTCATACTTGATCAGAAAAATGTTTAAGGGGTACCGTTGTAAATTGCCCATTGCCATATTTCCATGGAGGATCACTTTCAACAGATCCTTCAATCAAAGAAATTTAGTTTTCCTACCGTTTGATTGTTGTTATCCTGATATCTGAGTCCAAAGTACGCAGTTTCAATCAGGTTGAGATGTTTGTATATATTATCTAATAAATCCTGCCCACTGGTCCGACCCTGAAAAATTTTAAAATGAAATTTTAGAAATTTTACAGTTTGAATCTATTTGAATAGACGGTGGTAGATATCATGACAAAAATACATAGTAACCGAAGTCTCGAAGATCGTGGACATAATTAATTCCATATTTCTGTAAATTAATGACAAAAATTATCCAAATGTCGTCTTTTTCTTGATTTGATTGTTTTCGTTCAAATAACGTCAAAACGGCCTCAGCGATCGGTCCAAAAGTTTTTAATCCACAGACAAATCTTTAAAAATGTTTGGTTAAAGAATGTACTAAGAAAAACATGTAGGCATGGAAGCATTAAATATTTTAAAAAGACGATCTAGTGTTAAATATTTGGATCCAGAATAAACTTTGCTGCGTAGTTATATTTAAGAAAAAATATTATCAGAATGTAACAAATATTTGTATTCCATTTAAACAACAAGTTCTTTATTCGTTTCAACTGCGTAAATAATATATTTAGAGGAAAAATGTAAAAATTCTAAAAACTTTAAGTGGGCCTTTTAATATAAAACTTATATTTACAATTCTCATCAGTACTTTTTAATCTATAGCAAAGTGATTTTTTATTTTTTTAAAATATTTTTTTAATTTTGTACAGGTACACCATTCTTCACTTAAATTCAAAAAGAATTGAATTATATATTTTTTTACATTAAATAACATTATTATTAATTTTAATACAGGGTGTCCCAAAAAACATGGGAATTCAGTGACGAATTCAATATCGTCTTTTTAAATAATTCTTTGATTTAGTATAGTGATACCAACCGAGAAAGCTGTAATCTGTAAGAGTTTCGTCTGCTATATTCACATTTTGTTTGTTTATGTTTTGACTGCATACGGTTGTACTTAGTAAAACAAGAAAATTGCAGTATACAAACAGAGTAAACTTGTCCGTCTTCACTGTTCATCTTGCGGAGACATTATAGACACATCTTTGCAGTCTTTTACCCTTTTCATTATATTAACTCTAGCAGACTTAATAATATTATGGCTTTTGAAATTAGGTATTAAAATGCTAATTCATAGCAAAGACGATATCCAATTCGTCACTGAATTCCCATGTTTTTTGGGACACCCTGTATCATACTAATACTGTATGAGATCTGTTTAGTAGTCCCTAAAGTCTTATTCTGTTGGGTAACCCTGTATAAAACCATTTTATCATAGTTCTCTAAGCATATATTTAAAAACGCGTGTTGTGAGAGTTGTGAATTGTACAAAGAAAGATTGCTTTTAATTTTTGTAGCAAGTCTCTTTAAAAATGACACCATTTTTGAATATCATAAATCACGAGGGTAGAGATTCATTGACTAAGAAAAATCAGATAAAAATGAACACGGAGAAATATATTCTTTCTGACATTCTTACTCAAATACAAGGACATAATTCTTCATTCAATTAAACATATTTCCCCAGTACAAAACTGTACTCCAAAATACTACATTCTATACTGCACTTTAATGCATTATACTCAATTCTACTTAACTGTAATCCATTAAACTCAACTTCAATTAATTGTAATCCATTATACTACATTCTTCTATATTTTACTCACTTGTAATCCATTCTACTTCGATTAATTTGTATTCTACACTTTAATGCATTATACTCAACTCCAATTAAGTGTAATCCATTATACTATATTCTTCTATAGTTTACTCCCTTATAATCCATTCTACTACCATTATTTTTTATTCTACTTAATTGTAATCCATTATACTTCATTCTACTATACTGTACTCTATTATGCTCTTACTTACACCTTTATAATTTAATATTGCATCCTTAACTCCTGGGTTTGGTGAATCCTGGTGAAAGTAATTAGTTGAAGGAATTGAAATCCCTGGGCTGTAGCATATATATATAATTAATCCTAACTAATATTACTAGTTAGTAGATACACACCACACACTGCAGTCTACAGATCATCTTATCTTAATACCAGGAATAGAGATATGGAACAGAATAAGGAGAAGAGGAAAGGAAGGGAAGGAGAAAGGGGTGAAAAGAAGGGGAAGGAGGGGCAAGAAAGGGAAGGGCAGGGAAGGAGAAGTGGGTAAAATTGGAAGAGAAGGTGAATGGGAGAGGAAGAGAAGGAAAGAAGAAGGGAAAAAGAAGGAAAAGTGAAGGAGATGAGCGGAAGGAAAGAACATATGTGAAGAAGAACGTTCTTATTACTCAAGTATGTTTGCAAAAGGCAGCTGCTGGTTGGTTAGAACTTAGTTTGCTTAGTAATCTCTTGGTTTGTTTTGTCTGCAAGGTTTGCAATTAATGAAACCTCATCTCCAAGTTATGTGTAGTGATGTGTGTGGTCTAATCTCTCTCTTTCAACCCGTCCTAACTCCAATCCCAACCCTGGACACGTTACAAGATAAGAGTGTAATCAAAAGATTTACTAAAATGCAATTCTTTGATGAAACTTAAATTGGATGAAATAGAACAATATCCTCATGCTCGGTTTGAATGAAAATGAATTGGTTGTCAGGATCAAATTTATTTAAAAAGTGCCATAAATGATTCACTATAGTACCCTTTAATTGTTTTTCAAAGTGACCACGGGAAGAAGCAATCTGTTTTCCATCTGGAATGGAGAAAATGTTTGCTATGGACAATGGACATTGCAAAGTACTTATTCAGAAAAGCCGCGGACATAGTTTGTCAATTTTTAGATTTAAAACCGAATATATCTCCATAATCGATGCACCCTTACAGAAAATATTACATCGACAATCCTTTATCTCTTATTTTTAACCTAAATAATAGAAACAAATTAAGAATACAGAAACAAAGAATACCTATAGTATCTACTAAAACCTACTGGAATCTGTGTATATAATAATACATTAGGTCTGGTCCATAATATCCGCGTCTATCATTATTATTTTGTAACTTCTGTCGACAGTGGGGCCTGACCGAGAATAAGATTGAATTTCAGAATTTTTATCCCGTTTCTCCGATTAGATTCATGAACAAATTTTATGATGATAGGGGAGGGGGGTAATTCCTTGAAGACAACTGGTCCCGCCCCCTTCATGATTAGAGCCACGCCCCTAAACTGCTTCGAAACATCAAAATCAAACGGTTAGATGATAAATGAACATTAATGATGAAAACAATTCTTCCAAATTCTGTATTCTCTGCACTTTTATAATAAATGATAGTTATGAAATAGTTTTATTTGAGTTTAGGCTCATCTTGTCATAGATAGATATAGGGAGGGAGAAAGAAATAGATAGATAGATAGATATAGGGAGGGAGATATAAATAGGACGGGTCGAGCAAATACAAATATTAATATAAAGATTTCTTCAAGAGAAATAGAATGGCTAGAAGGGGAAATAAAGAAAGAACAGGAAAAATATATGTGGGTCATCTAAAAACAAAATCATGAGGTCAAAATTGAGTGTGCAAAAAAGAAAAATTTGAGTGTGATTAAGGAGAATTTGAGTGTGATAAACTAGAATTAAAGTATGATAAAGGAGAATTGAAGTGTGAAAAAATAATTAGAGTTTGATAAAGGAGAATTTGAGTGTAATTAAAGAGAATTGGAGTGAGTGTGATTAAGAAGAACTGCAGTGGGATAAAAGAGAATAGGAGTGTGAAAAAGAAGAATTGGAGTGTGATAAAGAAGAATTGGAGTGTGATAAAAGAGAATTGGAGTGTGATAAAGGAGAATTGGAGTGTGAATAATGAGAATTTGAGTGTGATAAAGAAGAATTAAATTATGATAAACGAGAATTACAGTATGATTAAGGAGGATTGGAGTGTGATAGAATATAATTGGAGTGTGATAACTGAGAATTAGAGTGTGATAAAAAAAGAATTGGAGTGTGATAAAGGAGAATTGGAGTGTGATAAAGGAGAACTGGAGTGTGAATCGAACGAATTTTAAAGTTGTTTCAGAGAATTGGAATGTTAATCTAGAGAAGTGTAGACTATTTTAAATTTTAAATTTTAAATGTTCAAAAGAAAATTGGAAAGTTGGATCGAGTGTTAGTCGAGACAATTTAAAGGTTAGTTCAGAGAATTGGGTGGAGGAAAAAAATACAAAATAAATATAGATGAAAAAAGAGGTGAAACGGAGGGGGGGGGGGNGTTTTGAGTTTAAACACTGTTTACAATATTAAATTTATTTAAATCAAACTTGACCAAATACGTGAGTTGAGAGTGTAATGAAAATACCCAGCATTGTTAGAACTAAACATTAAATACAACAAACTATGCATATCTATTTATATACTTTGTTTGTTTGGTTGTCTGTTTGTTTGTTTTTGTTTTTAATCGATAAAATTTACGGCTAAATTGATTGGACCCAATTTTTTTGAGGGACCTCACATGATTAAAAAAATTTGCCTAGAAACATATCGATTTTTTTAAATCCAAGAAAAATTCGATAAAAGAGCAACAATTAAAAGTTAAAATCAAAAATAGGCGCGAAGCGCCCTGGAAGCCTAGTAAAATATACTAGGTTTCCAGTAGATTTTCCAACTTTTTCCGGATCAATTTGGTTCTGTTCGTTCCGTTGCCTTACGGAACCTTTCCTCTTGGTAATTAAGAGCGGAATAATTCTACCTCTATAGATGTTACACAGAGCTGAGGTGTGATTTGCGGAATAATGTTTTTTGATATTGGTGTATTTTCATGAAAATCTTTTTATTTCTTTAGGAAATTGTTTTTCAAACTTTTGACAAATATACAGGGCGAGTCATAAAAAAGTGTGATTTGCGGCGCCTGGTGCAAAATTGTGCCTTTTTGTGAAATTCTCCTGTATTGTGTTTTATCATTATTTTTTGAAAATCTGTAACTTTTTTTGGTACTCCAACGGCCCCCAAAAAAAATTCGCGAAACTTTTTTTCTCTCAAAATCAATAGTTCAGAAAAGCAAAAATGTGTATATAAATTATTTCTGCCGAAATCTAAAATATTAAAGAGACTGAATCACAGAATCACAGAAAATTCGCAAAATTGTAATAAGAAAATTC